GTAGTGCAAGGAATAGAACGGAAAGACAAATGTTTCAATGGCCAATTGCCCAATGTCTTGGCTCAGGCCTTCTATATTTCGGACATTTGAATGAGTGCTTGCATGTGTCAGAGATTATGGGTATTATTGTCTTACAGTGGAGGCTGCATGAATGCGAGTCAACAAAATGAACTGTGGCTATCAGTGCATTGCGATAACGATTTGAGGGGGCACCCGCTGGTCTGGTGGGCAGTCCCTTATCGATTGATAAGGCAAACACTTTGACCAAGGCACTTGTTATATAGCATGAGTACGACGACCAATGTTGTTGAGGTATGGGTGTCCACATGTTTCATTCAAATGTTGTGTGAGCTCCCCATTGCTTGATGATATCACGTACAGTTCCCCTGATAGCCCAAACTGAGTGATATGCATAGTACACTGCCGGTACATACCTGAGTCAGCTTTGTATGAAGCGATACATTTACAAGCACATGTCCGACTGCACCCAATGAATGCTTCGCTATGGAGGAGTAATATGATTGTGCCTGTGACTTCTGCGGCTGTCAGCCCCCGCCACGCTTCCTGATGTCCTAAGGAATAGAAGTCCGTGAATACCCATGGAAGAACGGAGTCCACAGGGATTCAATGAACCTGCCTGCTATTCGCTCAGCATATCTTCGGTGTCATGACTGGAAGCCTCTGTCGACTAGAACAACATCAGGTCAGAAGTTTTTCCCAATGCCCAGTTGACGTGGTGGCATAGTCTTCTGGCTGCTTTTACACATCACACGATTGCTTGAGTTCTGTCCTACTGTCGCGACTTGAGGTCGAGCGACTGGAGAAAACAGGAAGGCTGGGGGCGTCCAACTAGATCTTACCGAAGCGATGGTGAGCAACGCTCAAACCTAAGGCTAGGGACAAGAAATGTATTAGTTAGTACAGGTAAGTAAAGGATACAAAGGAGCTTACTGACCTAGGGACAAGAGGTCGAAACTGAGGTCCCTAGGGCAGCAGAGGCCGGCTTATATACAGGGGGAGATAAGGGCAGGCTGTGCGCGTTGGTCCGTGCGCAGCTGGTCCGTGCGCAGCATGCTGACGCGGCCCCGGGGGCCGGTGAGTCAGAGAGGCTGCGTCAGCGGAGCCCGAACTGTGCCGTGCACTGCCGTCCTATCTAATCTAATCGTACAGTAGATAACGACGCGTCCATATTAGGCAGGTAGTACAGAGGTCGCGGGTTCGAGCCCGCAAAAAGGAAAAAATTAAAAGACGGCTAGACGCCGTACCAACTCGTGACACCTACCAACACCTCGGTCGCGCATCGGAGCGATACATTGATCACTTGGTATCCACGCTTGTCATAAACCAATGTGGTTCCTGGTGATATAACACCCCATGATACATATTGCCACATCTGTTGTGTACAAATGTCACAATAAGTGGAATGTCTATATCGACAGGTCATGATTGGATGTCACATACAGGGTTATTTAAGGGAACGTGGGACGAAAATATGCAATATGTATTTACTCAGTGGTAATGCTTCGTGAAGTACTTGCATGGCATGATTAAATAGGCCAGCTGTCTTACCAACACACTGCAGAAAAGAGCAAAGAGATGCGGCTTGAGAGGGATGGCCACGAGCCAAAGCCCATATGGTCGCTCATGTATATTCTGGTAGACTCGCACTCGACTTGGATGGGAACCTTCATGATAGGGATATTAACATCTGCAAAGCTGCATTCCCCCTGGTAGAACGGCGGTTCTACAGTAGCCTTGGGTAGGACGCGCCATCTATAGCTGTCTCGCATAAGAGATCCATCCTATGCAAGACATCTGTAGGACGGGTGTACCTCTGCAAGCCTCTGTAGCCATCAATGTGATGGGTAGATAGGCAGAACAATCCCCCGTGTGATTTGGCTGCTTATCCATCTTTGTGCAGTGCAATGTGTGTCTTCAAATGGAAAGAGATCATATTATGATGTGGAGTAGAGAATAAAACCTGTCGAGCTGCGAAGTCCGGTATGTGGACTGTGCTACTTGAAGCACCCCTCACTTGCTGCACTAATGGGCCAACTACTCGGTGCAACGTTCGCCAGCTCAAATAGACATGCAACGGGAGTTAGTGCCCGGGGCCAGTCGATCCCTCGCGCAGCCAGGAGAGGCCGGCCCCAGCGTCCGGCCGAGTGAGCAATTTTCCTCGCTTCACGCGTCTCGCTCTTTCGTCTCCTCCCACATCGTCCTCGCGTCGCGCAGCATCCGCGACGCCTCCTTCCTTGCTCACGTATCCTAGGTTTTCGATCGCGCCCTGCCCACCCTCGTTTGTGTTTTGTCTCTCCTCCTTTCCCTTTCCTTCCCTTTCCCGGCTCTGCGCTTGCTTGGGTATGCCAATTTTGTCTCTCGTCGCCCGGCGCCACACTAGCTCGGTGGTCTCATTTGTATTGACATAGCATACCCATGTAAATTTACCCCCCATGCTTGCATCTAACTGCATGCCATGCCTGCTTGTGAGCAAACCGCGCAGCAGGTGTCCCGCCCTCCCGGCGGCTTCCCCTTGCTCCGCGTCCCACTCTGGCTAACGCCAAGGGCTCCCAACACCTTTAGCTCTCGAGCGCGTTACGCGCGTTTTCCTCCGCACCTCCCCCTGCGTCGATGAGGCCGGACTACTGCAGACAGTCAGGTGAGTGTCCGAGTCTCCTTTCGACACCATCGTCTTACTACCTAGGCTACAGACTACAGGCCTCGCTCAAGAACGAGCTGCCACCAATCCCAAAGGATGACGACTTTTCCAACAACGACTTTGCAGCACCACGAATGAGCGCCGCTAGGCTCCATAGTCGTAATCCTGATGTACCGTAGTCCCGATGTACCATATCGCAACGAAAATACACACAATTTGATTTATATTTCTGGTTCGACTCAGTATGTCCGGCAATAACATTATTACCAAGCATGAAACTAGATCTAGGCTGCGTGATGTAATGATGGCAATCAGGATCCATCTGTGTCTACGCGTGCCTACAGAGCCCAATATGTCTATGTGACTACCGGGCTACAGAGTCCTGTAGGACCGCCGCGCTACACAGGACTCCTGTAGATGGGGGGCCGGCAATATGCCTATGGGACCTATGCGGGCTATGCGAGACCCGCGTAGGCATCGTCGAGTTTGCAGATGAATGCTGAGGGTTCGCATGATTCAGGATTCAAAAGTTGAGGAACAAGTGACTGAACGTACCATGAGCAAATCTGTGAGACCCATGCCGCCGCGGACACAAGTACGCGAGCGATTTTCACGATGGATTTGACTTCATTTGTTCCACTCGAAAGTCGGGTCTCAGCGATGCGCTCGCTCCCCTCGCAATCATGGTCTGTCTATTTTAAGAAATATTGTGAGACACCTGAAGGCGGAGGCACTTACTATTACACCATCAAGCACAACTCTGGCGCATCTATCGTGACGACACTTCATTACCAACATGTATTCGGTAGGTTGCAGGATGAAAATTTCACATTCAAAGACACAGGTGGTTGTTGCATCATAAATGCAGCATCAAGCAGCGCGGGCACCCACTTACGGTTAAAAGACTTGTGAGACAGGAAACACGCTCTCTGGGGGTGGTTCCTAGCGCCGCCAATTATGGAAGGTTGAATGTTGGGCGACCGTGATAGCTGTCGTCTTACACAATGATATTGGAGCTGCAAGCCCTCCCGCAATCAACACAAAGCGGTATAATGGAGCGCTGTGCACGCGCTCATACTGACTCACAAGCTAGGAAAGATCCTTGTAGTTAACTTCCTCTTGGGGCATCTGCATGACAAGGAATTTCACAGTGGAAAATCTGCAAAAAGAAAGCGCGTCACCAGCATCCCGTAGCTCCTTAAGAGTGCTACATACCTTTAGTATGCACCAACTCATTCTAGTATATGACCATGTGAATGATTGAGATACACGTAGGCTTATCGGCATTTCCTGGCTACGTTGTGGGTCATATAAAGGTGTCAGCTGGATATGCCCCTCATATTATATCGCGCGGACAATGCGTGTCCTGGATGGATTGAAGAGTAGTAAGAACGGTCCTTGGGACAGGAGTGTGACCATCGGTATGTAGTAATTCAGTTCATGACTCGAGACCGAAGGAAGTATAGTACCCCTCGTGAGTTTCTTGCGCAACGGCCCAGTGCACATCTAGAGTGAGTCGCCTCGAGGAATCAAGATACATCACATGAAAAAGGTGTCCGTGGTGTCGACGCTCGGGAGTCTAGACGCGACGCGGTCACGTGCTCGTCCCCACTTCTGCCCGCAGACCCCTGCGATTTACCATAAGCATCGTTGACCCGCCCCTCGACCCTCGACCAGGTTCGGTGTTGACCTTCTCCTGACCGCCTTCAGCTCGTCTCGCCAGAATCTTGCTTCATTTGACCGGCAGACCCTACAAAAATGCTCATATCTCACTTTCCCTGCCACCTCACATGCCGAGTCTGTTGTCACATCGTCTAGGACCTGCACATCGCCGCACAAGGCTCCATGATATGAGTGGTGCTGAAACAATGGCACAGCTTCATAAATGTCTTGCCGCCTGCCAGTCATCGTGGAGTCGAGGCCGTGAATTCCGCGCATAGCCGCCCACATACCACAGCGCTTCGTAGCCTCATGTCGGTATCTACGGCCTCTCCCAGCCAACTGCTCAAACTTGCCCTTCTTATTCCCTTATGGGCTCGTTGACGACCCCGGACGCTGTCTACGCCTCCCAACTCTTCCGCTGCGGTGAAGGTCTACCGCTATGGTCGCCCGAGCACACGAAGCACGGGGAGGTCCTCGTCGGGGATGTGGGCTATATGCGCCATGGGGCGTTCTACCGCCTGTTTAATGCAACGAAAGCCGCGGACGATCCCATAAACAAGGAGTACGGCGTCCCCAACGGGAACTCGTACAAGCCATTCACTCAATCGCAGTACGGGCTTAATAGAGATCTCAATGCCATCTCCCCGGGCCCGATGTGCAGCAAGAGCCTCACGAAGCTTATAGTTGGCGGCGGAGCGGGGACGTAAGTGTATCGCTGCACGATCGCATGTGATATATGTCTAAGCCCATGCAATCGTAGGCATGGGGTGGATGCGAGCTTCCACTTCAAGTGCACCGACGACCAGGGCGCTTTCCTACTCCTCAAAGACGCTGCAACAAGGGAGGAGCTACATCCGAGTCGTCGTATGGAAAACTACATGCACCGGAACTTCCGGAGCTGGCAGTCGTTTGCGGTGGACGATCTGGATGTCGATCTACAGCCGGAGGACATCATGTTCGTGCGCGGCTGGGTGAAGACGACGCAGTGGGCCGTGGCGGCGATCACGCACGAGGGACGCGAAGCGAGGGTGTCGATCAGTGGGGAGATTGGTTCGGTGGCGGACGCACATCTCTCGATCCACAAGTCTGACGAGGTCTCTAATTACTACGCTCACCGCACGGGGCCATCGCGGATACTGCATCGGAAGCGGCACAAGCACCACCATTCATCGGACAGTGGATCTGTCGAGCCATCAGAGCGCGACGACGCAGACCAGCTGGATCAATGTATCTTCCTGCACTACTACAAGCTAAAGAGAAGACGATTCCTGGGGTTCAAGAAGCTGGAGGCGGCTGCCGAACCTCGCGATCCATCCGGACCTCACGACGACGACGATGAATTCGTGGTGGAAGAGGCATCGGCGAGAGAGAAGGCGAGTATGCCTATGCGATTTAGGCGAGATAGCCAAGCCTAATTGAATCTTCATAGCCATTTGATCCTGTGGACTACGTCTTGGATTATATCCTCGAGGTACAGTAATACCACCATTCCCATTGAGGGCATGCTTTGATGAATCATAGCACTCCGAGGCAGACGTCGCAATCGCGAATGATAGAGACATAATCAGCATCTGTAAAGTCAGCATAGTCTCATAATTGCCGATGCTGCTGCTAATAGCAAATACAGGGGAAGGAGATTCCTGATGATATACCAGCATTCTTGCGCAGCGTCCAGCCCACTATCGAGGTGAACGCGGACAAACGTAAGTCGTACGCATATCTACATATCACATGTATTTGACCATGCATTCAGTTGGCATACTTTCATTCGAAGATCTTGATGCGATTGCGGCTCAGACGGAAGCACAAGACGCGGAACAGGCAGTGGCCGACGAGCAGGTACAAAACCACCCCGATCCCAACACACAACCGGTACCACCACCAGAAACCGATCTCGTTGAGAATCTCCAGAGGAAGCTTGTTGTGCGGCACAATGTCGGAGGTATGCTGCTCGGTCTTGGCGCAGACGCTCACCGCGGCAGCGTGTGCGCATTGGCGTACTCCCCAAATGGCCTCTACGTCGCCAGCGGCTATGAAGATTCCACCATCATCTTGTGGGATCCCGCCACCGGAGGTCGCATCACGGAGCTAAGGGGGCACACAGACACCATCTGCGCACTCGCATTCTCACCAGACAGCTCTCTCCTTGCCTCTGGTTCCCGCGATTGCTCGATCATCTTGTGGAACGTGGTTGCTGGCGAGAAGACGGTCGCGCTCAATGGTCATGACGGCTTCATCGACACGCTCGCGTTCTCTCCGGATGGCAAAAAACTCGCATCTGGTTCAGTCGATTTCACAGTGCGGATATGGGACGTAGAGAGAGGCGAACAGCAATCACTGTGCAAGGCCCATAATGCCCTCGTCATGGTTGTCACGTTCTCTCCCGACGGCACTCAGCTCGCGTCCGGGAGTGCCGACTGCGATACGCGTGTGTGGGATGCTGAGACCGGCATGGAAATATCTGTTCTTAAGGGCCACCAGGGCGTGGTCTACTCTGTCCAGTTCGCGCCCGACGGTCGCCGCCTGGCCACGGCGTCAGACGATGGCACCAGCGTGGTCTGGCACGCGAAATCTGGCGAGAGGCTCGTCATCTTCCGCGAGCACTCGGGTCCTGTCTGGTCCACGGCATTCTCGTCGGACGGCAAGCGTCTACTGTCTGTCGCGAGCGACCGGACTGTCAAGGTATGCGACTCGTACAGCACTGAGGCGATTCTGGCGATCGATGGGGCAGAGGGCATGGTGAACGCGGCAGTGTTCTCGGATGACGGTGAGTTTGTGGCGGCGGGTGCAGAGGACCATTCTGTGTGCGTGTGGAATACGCGGACGGGCGAGCGGATCTCGGTGCTGGAAGGGCACACGGACAACCTTGTGAATTTGCGGTTCTCGCCAGACAACCGTCGTCTGGCATCTGCGTCAGATGACAGCACGGTGCGCATCTGGAACATTTCAGTGGCGCTGCCAGCCGCGGTATGAACGAATGCTTGTATCTCGAAAGGTTATCCATGGTGGTGGATTCATGTTCAGACGAGAGATGACCATTTGCTGATCTCGGGACTTGTGTATTACCTCGGGACTAGTTCGCAGCGAGCGTGCACCGATGCCTTGGAACTTGCATCTCTCCCTGTATAATTTCATATCTGCCGATGTACTGTTCACGTTGTCAGATGCTCTCCGATCATGCATCTATTCTCAGTTCTGTCAGTTTGGGTTTTCTCGCAAGGCGATCATTTGGGAGCGTATTTGCCAATTACATAGACAATCCTATCGCATCCTGTTGCATGGCAGCAAGGGGCCGTTGTATGCTAGATCGTGACATCGTCTTCGTGTGACTACAGTATTTGTGTTATGACCCGAGTGTGGAACAAGCTCGAGGCGCCTTTGCCACTTCATCGCGACTTCCACCTACCCAATTTGTTCCGGGCCGAGCTGTTGGGACGTCATCCTTCAAATTAATCAGAGGGAAGCTGCCGTTTGAGGAATCATTTCTCCCAATGCATCGAGCACTACAAATCCCGGAAATCTTGGCCATGGTCTTTCAGCCCTTCAGCATGATCCAGGAGGGGTTCGGGAAGCGGGAGGAGGATTGGAAGCTATGCCAAACAACACTGAACAGTGCTGCTCGTGTCTGTCGCATATTCTCTGATCCTGCCCTCAATGCATTATGGGCACGGATATACAGCCAGGACAATCTTTTCGATCTCATATCCACACTTAAGAAGACAGACGAGGGGCAATATGTGAGTGCTCCTTCAGCTCGTGCTGATAATCTTCTTGACTTGGTCATTTATATGAACTTCAGTACCTGGATGGTTGCGTGACCGATCATGATTGGCAGAGATTCAAACTCTACGCCCAACGCATTCGCTGCATTCGTGCCGACTTCGACGGCATACCGCCTATTGTCCTTCAAGATCTGACACATCGAGGCGGCGGCGAGCCCCTTCTACCGCGATTGGAGGAGCTTCGCTGGTATACGCATAGGCTCGGTGAAATCGATATAACGGCCATCTTCGGTGAACACCTGCGCGAACTGCACCTCAGCGCGTATTTCAGCCATCAACCCGTGGACGAACACGGCGGAAACCCTCATGCCCTCTACGGGACCTTCCCCCAGTATGGTTCCCGCGCACATAATCTGGTGGACATCTATCTCGAACAGGTCCCCTCTGTGTTTGTATCTGCACTACTGCCGTGCTGCGCAGCACTACGGCGCCTTGTTGTTAATGTTCCCAAAGGCGTATTCCATGATCGCGACTTGGATGCCCTGTCAAGCCTCGAGCACCTCGAATATCTTTCCCTGCTAGTTTGTGAGGTCGTTCCTACACGGACTTCTCGTAGAATCCTCCCCGCGCTCACCGAACTCGAACTCGGTCACCGCCCTGCTACCCTCATTCCTCTCATCATGTCTATCAACACACCTGCACTACAGGACCTCCAGCTTTTCATTAGTATCCATGATCGTCGCGATCGCGTTGCAGACTTCACACGTTGCTTGGAAGCCTTGTCGACAGTCGACGCGCCATTCCTATCCTCGCTCAATCTGAACCTTGTTGCTCGTCCTTCCGTTCGAAGGAACTTATCGGTTGCGTTTTGTCAAGACATATTACGCCCCTTGTTCGATCTACGGACTCTTGAGCACATTGAACTCCACGTCGACGACCGCTTTCGCATGAACCACCTCACACGGGAAGATGTCCATCGCATGGCAGTGGCATGGCCTCACCTTCAAACATTGAGTCTTGAACTCGACTTCCGAGAGACACGCTATGATGTCATGCCCCTGGATGCCATTGCACACCTTGCGCAGAATTGTCCTGACTTGCGACTATTGGAATTGCCCTCAGCTGAGGTGTCCCCGGACGTGTGGAGGATGCAGTTTCCAGCACCCGCACACGGGCTAGAGATTCTCAACGTCGCTATACTGGATGGCGACGACGTCCCGTTGCCAATTGCGTCTTATCTAGACCGCATGTTCCCGGATTTGGACCTCGAACTCTGCAGCTTTGGTAGTGAGGACGACCCGGTGGTCGAACTCCCTCGGGTACTGCACGCGTTACAGCAGGCCAGAGCACAAGAACATGTTCTCCAGCACGGATCTATCGGCCATGCTGACTGAACAATCCTCCGGTATGTTGCGCGACTCGAATCCTCTTGCGAACAACGACTGATGTTGCATCTGGGGTTCATCGGAATAGCGTGCATCTTAATTCCTTGTCCTCAGCGCCGACACTGGCTTATCATTTTTTCAGTCGATGGGATTAGAGGAGCGGTAAGGGTTGTTGATGGCTCAGACGTCATATCACAGATGTTGTACAATTAGTGCCTTCGAGCAACTTGGAAGTGTTTCTTCTCGGATCCTATATGCTGATGCTCCGGCGCATAACGTGTTGCACTTGCTGCTATATGATGCAGTAGGACTGGAGACATGCTGTATGCAATAATGTAATTGTAGTCATGGAGTCATGGAGTGAAGTCCCCCACGACTGATCGATTATGTATCCCGGCTCGCGGTGGCGTTAGGTCCACTGTAAATGCCTGATCTCTACGTCCGAACTGGAGAACCACGGTCAGGAAAGGCCTTCCGCTGCCCAACGGTATTTCTCACCTGTGCCTCCACTGTCCGTGCAGCAGGAGGTTTGTCTCGTTCATGCCCAGCATTAACAGATACTGAAAATATATCTCACTAAAGGACAGCACGCGCCGACAGACAGTCGCATACCTTTCTTCTCCAATCCTCCGGCATGCGGTTGAACCCGGTCCACTCGAACTCTAGCTCCCTTAGGTGCGCGAACTGAGGGCGGGAAATTACATTCGCCATCCGCGCAAACTCTTGTTGGATGACGGGCATCCGCCACATGCTCACACCAAGCGTCACACGCCGGATGCTGGTCGACTGCACCGCGGAGAAGAGCGCCTCAGCCCAGCTTCCTGGATCCAGAACGCCCTGCAAGAAGCGGACACGCAGTGATTCTAGTACCGTGCATGGCGCGAGGAATTGCCCTAGGATAGTGTATAAGCATTGCACTGCGAGCTTTCCAGAGGCTCCCACCTGCAATTAACCACCGCGCTGCGTCTGCCTTCTTTCCTTGGTCCGATCGAAAATCAACACTGAAATGGCGCAGCGAGCGGCCAGCAGCATGAGTCATCCGATCCAGCCGCTCAACGTTCTCGATGTCTACAAATGAAAGTACGAGCTTGTCGAGCCCAGTGAGGATTGTATCAGAAAGGAGCCAATCTGCGAGGGTGGCCATTTCTACTCGCATGTCGAGATGCAGAGAGGTAAATCTGGGTCGGTGAGTGCGGTCCTCTCGTTGTGCCTGTGGTTGCACGGGACCCATGGTGGTCCAGGTCAGGTAGATACAGCGTAAGTCCGAGATATTAGGCAGCGCGCAGATGAGCTTTCTAAGATCGGCGAAAGTGGAGAATTGTAGCATGTAGAGGCTCAGCTTTATGACCGATCCGAATCCAGAGAGTGCAGAAAAGAACCGCCCGGGAAGCGGGAGCGGCCGTGGTCCAACCGAGTAGTCGCGCTCGAGACGGAGGTGCTGGATGTGTGAGAGGCGACCAGCCAGCATAGTAGCGAACAAAGACAGGGTGCAGGTATACGCTGGGTCCAGCGCATGATAGACATGGAGTTCTCTAGCCAGGTCGACAATATGGGGCGCGCTCAGTAGCATCCTTGAGAATACACGAAGGTGCTGGGCTTTACGGATGTGAATGATATGAAAGAGATGGTAGCGGCTCCGCAAAAGCCACGAACGGCAGGTCAAAGCACATGCTAATAGGCTTTCACGATCATCCCATAGCGTGTCGATGATCTGCTCAGAAATTTCCATAGGAAAGGGTCCAAGGAAGTCTGAGGACTGCACATCGCCAGCGTCTGTGAGGCTTTCAGAGACGACTTTGTCGATGCCTAGTAGGTGAGCGCTGATAGCGAGGTTGCTAGGAGAATAATGCTGTCAGTAGCCGTATGTATACTGTAACTAAATAGATGCGTATTCACTTAGTCATCCTCGAAAAGCTTGATCGAACTCTGTGAGCTCTCGTTCAATCCGCTTTGGTTGGTGTCAGGATGCGACTCACACAGCTTTGCATATTCTCACATACCGGAGTCCAAGATATTTGGTGCCTCGCGTGATCGATCAGCAAAAGCATAGCTTCATGATGGAATGACACAGGTTTGGAACCCAATACAATAGTCCCTGTGTGAGCTGGTCGTAGGTCGGTCATGGGCCGGGGATATTCTGAAATCACCCTTGTGCGTGACCGGTTGGCAAGACAAGCGCTGTGTACCAGAACAGTGTTGCAAATACAACTTGGACATTTTTAACAGGTGCGACACGGGCTCAGAGGTAAGGCAAGCCGAGCCTTCATGCAACCAGGCAGCCTACGATAGATTGAGGCTTCGTTACATTACGTACTACATGCATGTATTATTCCAGAATGTTTATGATCGTCCGCGATGATAAGCATAGCATTGTGAAGCGCGTTGATATTACTCCGAACGAGTCTCGGTCAACCGATTTGAGTCCAATTGCTGAGTATATCTCAGGTCTGAACTGTTTGACTCTGCACGTCGATGTTCAGTACCAAGTAGCATTGTAAAAAAAACATGAACAAACGAAGGCTAAGCAGTGTTAGCCGAACGAGTTGAGTCCCAATGGAATGATATGAGCGGCTTCAAGAGGCTGATTGAACGTCGAGGGAAGCAATTGACCATTGACACGAGGTTGTGAAGCACATTCATGTGATATGCCTCCGGAGATAGGACAAGTCAATGTTCCCTTTCAAGAAGCGATTATGACTATCATCGAGCTGCCTTAGAAGCAGGCATAATCAGGCATACCAGACGGCTCAATTCCTCATTTTTATCTCGATCTACAGGCTGTATTGCGATGGTGGTTTGTTCAAGGGTAGGTGTCTGGCTAGAGCTTGCAAGAACACAGTTAACAGCACACCTATTTCCTAGCACTGGACATCTTTCATAAGCATGACAACACTAGAGTTCAAGGCCTAAAGTTGACTCGGTAAAAAAAGATCATCCAGCAGGACAGAAGCCAGGTGAAGAACATAATTGACTCCCTTGGAGGCAGCCACATGTAGGGCCATTTCTATATAATGTTGGCCATATTGTGAAGGAGCATCGACAAGCATGTATTGAAAGAGTTCTTTGGGACAAACACCACCACGTAGAGGTTGTTGACTTTTGGGTACATCGGGCAAGCGTCGCTGCCGGCCCTGGTCACGTGGTCGTGTGCCGGTGTGGGAAGAGGACTTATGTAGGCGTCGCGCACCGTAGGTAGCCCCATCGGTTTGTAACCTAATCACCCATTGATCCCTGTCCATCGAGGACGTTCTCGGCCGGCGGTCTTTCCGGCGTCGTTCTCACAGAGGTGCTGTGAAAAAAAAATTCTCGACCATGGACAGGGCACCGACGACAAGAGGATGGTAGAGAAATTGCCCAATTCGCCTTCCGCAAGGCCAGTGGACGTCATTAAGAGGCAAGAATATATGGATGCGATTGTCTCGTTTGAAAGTGTACGGAGTTCGCTGGTGCTTGGCTCGTCTATGCCACGATGATGGGTTGATGATGGACTTGGAGGTGGGGTACAAGTCCTGTAGTCGCCGTCGTCTCGACTGTCAAGATATTTGCTTTCCCGTTCTGATGTCAAAGGATCAAGTCGAGGTGTTGGATGCTTCAAGTACGTCGGCGCGATCAACCGAGCGTCACTTATATGTCACGCATCACGCCGTGTGAATCTCAAAAGTCGTGCGGCAATTCACTTGTATGGGTTTGGAACGGTGAAGCCTAATCGGCATTTCCTTCAACTACAGCTTCTGCTGCTTTCCTCGTCGCTGCCTCCGTTTTTAGGCCCATAATTTGCGCGATTACAGACACCACGACGCCACGCCAGCGTAAGCAGCTCGTATCAATCACCGCTAACGCCGTCTGCGAACAGGGAAGGAGAGTAAACGCTTAGAGCTACGGATCCAGTTGGTCATGCTGTTGGAACAACGGTGCGAACGGCGCGGGGGCGCGTTTGTCCACGGGCGTAGCGATGCCCGTCAGGGACAATCGCGTGCGGTACGTACATCGCGCAGGGTCGTTATATACTACGATAGGGGCCTCCGGCCCCCGGCTACTCGCGCGCCCGAGCTTTCGAGCTCGTTCCTGACCACGCGGGTCAGCGCGTTTCAACACATGCTACTACAAGGAGCTGCTCGGTCTCAAGCACGAACGGGAAAGAATAGTTCGGAGCTCAGTACGGATCTACCTGTGTATCCTTGTCATTAGTTATGGATATCCAAATATGTCCCTTGTGGTTGGTGAGATTAGGCAAAGTACTGTGTATCAGAACGGTATGGTGAGCACATCTTCTTTTGTGACATACTGACACTCGCAGTCAGATCATTGCGCTCCAAATGCATGATTCGCTTATCACACATGCATCGCCTAGCGAATTACCTGCGTGTGATGAATATAATCTGGCTTAGCCTGGGTGGATTAGGGAGCCTAGTCACTATCTACTCTCAGCCAACGCTCAGTTAAAGCGCCGCGATGTCCAGGCTGTAAGACGTCAGGTGAGACGCTCATTCCTGTGATTCTTTGACCGAAATGAACAACGCTAGAAGGTGCTGTGAGGCTACCACAGAAGCCACGGGATCCGAACGAGAGTTCGAGATACAGCTGATTCTTAGAAAGCAATCACTGCGTCTCTTAGTCCCGCTGTGACCCCGTGCTACGATACGTCATCTATCCCTCCTTCTCGCAGAAGACTTCTAACGCTCGCGCTCATGTGATGAATGGGTCAAACTTTCCGCGCTCATTTTGAACTCAAATATTACCCATATAAGACCGCACTAAATGCTTATACGTTGCGAAACATTGAACAGTTTGACATCGTCATACTCATGATGCTGAGTGTTTTATCATCAATCGAAACGCTTGACATGGCTGTCGCACTACTAGCTCTCCTCTCATACCTCCTTTACATCCTGTGGAATAGAAAATTGCGAACGGTATACCCCCCTGGTCCCACTCCGATACCATTCCTAGGCAATTTTTGCCAGTTGCCTGTCGAAAATCAACATGAGAAATTTCAAGAGTGGGCTCAGACATATGGTATACAGTCGCATCGTTCTGCTTGTCCTGCGATCCGAATGTGATCGCGTTTCTATTCTATCTACCAGGAAACATCGTCTACGCACAGCTCTTCAGGACGCCTTTGGTTCTTCTCAACTCGCTAGACACAATACAAGATCTCATGGTGAAGAAAGGCGCAATCTACTCTGATCGGCCGCAGTTCGTACTATGGGAAGATATGTCAGTGATGATATTTGATGTTTGTCCGTTTTGCACTCATGAGCATCCCATAGCTACGGGTTCAAGCCCATCCCAACATCACTCAACGCGGACGACGACTGGCGAGAACATCGCAAGTGGATGCAATCTGCTCTCGAGACAGACCAGGCTTTGGTTGAGATGCACCCACTTCTACGTAGTAGTGTTGATAAGCTGCTGATGAAGCTGGTCAACTCCCCGGACGCTTTCTTTGCACATGTGCAAAGGTCATACCCAACCACCTATCTGTGTCATCGCGTATGCTGATCTTTCAGTATGGTAGATACACAAGCGAACTTACAATCGATATCGCATACGGGATGGACAAGTTGACGGCAGACGACAGATATCACCGCATAGCTCAGGATGCGGTTGATGCCATCGCACACGGCAGCTCCTTATTTGCCGCATTGGTTGACTTTTTCCCCATACGTACGTGCACCAGACAAGCTGCTTCCCAGGTGCAACTCAATACTTTCCATGTACGCAGTGAAATACATCCCTGCATGGGTCCCTGGCTCCGCTTACAATTCTTATGCAACAAGAGCGAGAAATGCGGTTTATCAGATGATAAATGAGCCTTTCAATTTGCTCCTTGAGACTATGGTGAGTGTAGAGTTGAAGCAGTGCAAGCCTTCTTTTGAGAAATGAATGCAGGCGTCCGGGGTATACAAGCCTTCGTTCGCGTCGGTTCTGATCGAAGCAAAATCTGAGAATGGCCAGCTATCAACTCGGGCTGAATCCCATATCAAAGGTGCTGCAGCGACTGTATATGCCGGCAAGTCTTCAATCATCACTATTCGTGGATCTAACGCTCACGGACGTCGTGTATAGCTGGTGCTGAGACGGTTAGTAGATGTATGATACGGCCTCTTGTTAATGCGGACTGCTGACTGGGTGCAGAGCGCCGATGTGGTCCTAACCCTTATCTTGGCCATGCTACTCCATCCGAACGTATCGGAAAAGGCGCAGAAAGAGATAGACTCCGTGGTTGGTCCAGATCGACTGCCTGAGTTTCATGACAGGAAACGGCTTCCATACCTTGAAAGTGTGCTCTCTGAAGTACATCGGTATGACAAAAGAGCCTGTGCCCCCAGGGTCTGATGCTGACGTTGACGTAGCTGGAATCCTCCTGCACCTCTGGGTGTCCCACACCGTCTCAAATGCAATGATGAGTACAAGGGTTACTTCATTCCGAAGGGAGCAAGTATAATCTCCAACATTTGGTGCGGCTCATGAATCTTCACTCCACAACGCATCCTGACTTACTGTAGGGCTATATCGCGTGATACATCCATCTATCCTGATCCAGACACATTCTGGCCCGAACGATTTGGGCAGATGGATGCAGAGACTTTCAAGGCGTACGACCCCAAGAAGTATGTCTTTGGTTTTGGCAGACGGTAGGTTGCGCTGCGTTCAAACAAAAGATTTGACACCACTAATTACGGGTTGTTGCAGTGTATGTCCCGGTCGTCATCTGGCAGATTTAACCACTTGGCTTGCGGCGGCCAATATACTAGCAACGATGGACATTAGGAAGGCACGAGATCACGCTGGCGCAGAGATAGAACCCAAGGTCTCATTTGTCTCCGCTCTAACCAGGTCCGTTGTGCTTCTAGCGGGAGAATCGTGTCCTCACTCATCAGAACATTGCTCCAGGGGCCCGCAAAAGTTCGCCTGCAGCATCTGCCCGCGAAGTCTAGCGTCCGTGGAGCTCATCAAACAACAGCTCCCAGACAAACCTGCTTGAGAGCTTGCACATCCCTTCTTACTGGCACGAGCGGTTTTTTGGATCATACCTTGCCGATCCAAATCATTTCGGCTAGAGCTCTATTGGTTGCAAGAGTATCAAAGGTCCATCACGTCGGTGTCAATACGAGACATGAACTTCGCTTACTAGCCAGCTGTGGCGCTTGTTTAAAGTTTTTGGATAGTGTCTAGTTATTGGTCTGCGAAGGTAAGGCGGACTTCTAGTTAAGAAGCTCCCGGAGCGTTCCCGCCAGACGGAGGAGCCTGTGAACTTTTTTTGAAGTCAAAGGGTCATGTGCTCCGATTGTCAAAAACTCAGTTCCTACGCTCGGACTCTATTCACGGTCGTGTTCCATAGAGGTTCTGGTTCGTGAGATATAGTGTGGCTGATTCTCTCGCGTGAGTGTTAGACCCTGAGGTGTAAGCGAGTATACCCCTTATGATACTTGTGTCCTTGGATGAATAGAATTCCCACATCACATTGACGCACAAGTACACCCTGAATCTGGCACATCGGGACAAGATAACGGATGCTGTGGCCAGAGAAGATCGTCTGTAGCCACTTGCGGAGACTTAGGCATCTCAATGGCATCTCCTGACTGAATGTTTTGATGGTATGTATTTTATCCTCGGTGCATTCACACTGATCAGTGCAAGGCAAGGCGGTTCACTTTGTGCGTTGTGTATGATTCTTATGAGTGGTATAAAGGTCGACGGTCGCTTCTTACCAGCCTATGGTCCCATAAAGTGTTTCATGAGTTTGCACGAAATTTGTGAACGCACAACTCGTGATTTGCATCTGTTAGCGCTTGCCATAGCTGCGGTCAGTACTGATAAGCCATTTCGTGTCGGTATGGAGGCTAGTGTGGTGGGAAAGCGCTGGAGTGAACGCTTCTTGCACATTGTATGGATCACGCAGCATCCGATTAGGGTGCGCTTCACTTTTTCTTCTTATCAGTGTCTTCTCGACATTCCGTGTAGCCGCCATACTCAAACCGTTGCAGAATAACATGATACGGAACATATATAGCCTCTTACCATCAGCTCATCAACAATTCCTGCTCTACCTTTCATGCAGCTGCCACCGACGCTTGTGGATTACCTGATAGTCTTTGTCCTATGTGTTGTGATCTTCAACTCAGTATATACGCGATGGCTTAAGATTTCTCCGCATTTCCCCCCCGGTCCACAACGACTTCCGCTCATAGGCAATATCCATCAGATTCCTTTCGAATACCAGCAGAGGATGTTTGCAAGTTGGGCCAAACATCATGGTGCGTCAATCCTGGGTCAAGTGAATGATATGGCTGCTATGTGCTCACAGTGACATTAGGCGACATCATTTACATGCAGCTCTTTCATAAGCCATCTATTATAGTTGATTCGGTACGCGTCGCCCAAGAACTGATGGAAAAGCGAGCCTCCAAGTATTCCGACAGACCACAGTTTGTGATGGTGAAGGAGTAGTACGTCATTCTCTAGTCTGATGTCGTTGCGCTTACTGAACACGTGCGCCTGTTTGCAGTTTGCAGCCCAAACCAAGCTTGGTCTTCATGTCGTGGGGCGAGAAATGCCGTCGGCTTAGGAAGTTTTTCCAATCCGCGCTCGAAAACAAAGCAGCTCTTGAAGGGTATCGCCCATTGCAGAGAAGAGAAATTCATCGTTTACTTCGAGATCTTGCTCAGTCACCTATGGGTTTTATGGCGCATGTCAAAAGGTATCGCAGCTAGCTTCTGTGAAGTCCGCTGCTGACCTCTCGTCCAGGTATGCTGGCGCCATCATACTAGAGATCGACTACGGTCATCGTGTCACCTCCGCGCAAGACGAGTGGATGGTGTATGTAGATCACACAGTAGACGAGTTCACCACAACCGGCAGTCTCGCAGCAAGTCTCGTCGATTTCCTCCCGCTGAGTGAGTCAAGTGAATCGTTGAAAAAACATGCTTCGTTGACGTGGGTGATACCAGTGAAGCATATTCCATCATGGATGCCTGGCGGCGGGTTTAAAAAACGCGCCTTGATCGTTGGAGCGAAGGTGAGAGACATGATGGAAATACCTTACAGAAAGGTGCAGAGAGATATGGTAAGCCCTTGAAGCCCATAGCATGTCCAACTGACTGTACAATATACTCGCAGGCATCCGGATGCGCGAAGCCGTCCTTCATGACATCCCTTCTGGAAAAAATGACACAAGATGGGTGCTTATCCGCGGAGGAAGAGTACGATATCAAAGCATCTTGCCTCGTCATGTACACAGGTAAGTTCGTTTGCTGTGAACAGAATTTTCCTTGTTGCTTAGCTTGTCTGCGTACCCTGGGTAGCTGGTTCTGACACTGTACGTCGCGTAGCATTAATCACTCGGTCAAAATTGAATACCGTTAATATTGTACCTCAGACAATTACCTCACTGATGACATTCATTTTGGCCATGGTTCTTCATCCGCATGTCCTCGACAAGGCTCAAGCTGAGATTGATCGAGTCATAGGGAGCGAACGTCTTCCTGAACTAGATGATCGAGAGGCCTTGCCATATGTCGATTGTATTGTGAAAGAAGTGTATAGGTGAGAGCCCTTCCGCATGGGTTATACTCGTGACTCACGTCTGTCTCTACAGGTGGAATCCTCCCGTTCCTCTTGGCAAGCAACGAGATCCGAAATATGAGGTATCGCTAACAGTCCGCAATAGGAATCCCCCATCGTGTCATGGAAGACGATATTTATCGTGGCTATGTGATCCCAGGAGGCGCAACTATCATTCCTAACATCTGGTTCGGCTCACTTTTAGTTCACTTATATGTCATTCATTGATTAGTCGCGCGTAACAGGTCCATGGGCCATCATACAGACATATATTCCGATCCTGAGAAATTTTTCCCGGAGCGTTTCGAGGAAATGGATACTCAAACAGCTAACCAGAAAGACCCCCGGAAATTCATCTTTGGCTTTGGCAAACGGTATGTGGAGCCCTCGGTCAAACATATGCTATATTTTGCCTACTGCTTGTGCTGTTTGGTGTCAGAATTTGCCCTGGGCGGTACCTCGCAGATGAGACTGTTTGGCTTGCAATTGCGAACATCCTAGCAACAATGAATATACAAAAATGCCGCGACCCATCTGGGCAAGAGATCACCCCAATCCCATCATTCAAAACCGGCATCGTGAGGTAGACAATGAATCCTGTTCATGCATTCTGTGTGCTGACCTATGAATTGCAGCCAAGTAGACCCGTTCTTGTGTGAGATCAAACCACGCACGGAGAAAGCAGCCAATCTCGTCGGACAACACAATGCGGGCGATGTGTAGCCTCTAGTAGTACATGAATGGATATGAATGTTTCTACCAGACGAATATGGTCTCGCAACTCCCCTGAGTTGTGTATGTAGGAGGATTCGGAGGCTCTAATACAAGGTCTCGAGACGGACAACTGTAGGTCAAGCTTCAGTTGTCGGTGTCCGTGAGCAACGCCACAGGCGGGCTGAATCTTCAGCATTCACAGAAAGATCCATGTTTCACATTTACGGGGGAAGATGTTCTTCCCATGCATAATGATCATTGACAGCTAACACTTTAAACAGATGGTAGGGTAGTTTGGCCAACCGGTAGTGGCGAACGAGAGACATGACTGGAGAAAGACGTGAGGTTGAGGCGCAGGACACTGACGCGACTGGCGCCTATAGCATGTAACACGCGCGCCTGGCCGCACTTCACAATATAGTATGATACTTAGGACTCTATAACCATGCTCTCAAAAGACTGCCTTGGATGGTCCTATTCGAAAGATAGACATTTTGAAAGAGCCGGACGGTGCACACGGCACATCAACGTACTCGATCTGATCCAGGGAGGCCCGAGGGGAAGTGTGGATTCCAAGACATCCATATATATGTATTGCAAAAGGTACTGAGGCAAGACACAAGATTGAGTATCAGCAAAAAAGAAAATATCTAGGTCCTACGAACCCACGCAACCTATCGCCTCATGCTGTGGCTGCCAGCGCCACTGGGGTACACCAGATACGCACCGTGCTGTCGTCTGACGCAGAGACCAGACGGCGGTTGTCTCGCGAGAACCGCAGATGCACAAGATTGTCCGTGTGCCCTTCCAGCACCGAAATCTGCTCGCCTGTCCGCGTATTCCACACGCACACAGAATGGTCCTCTGCACCCGCCGCCACAAACTCGCCGTCATCCGAGAACACTGCCGCGTTCACCATGTCCTCTTCTCCTTCAATCGCCAGAATCGCCTTAGCGTTGTACGAGTCGCAAAGTGCTCGCGGAAGATGATAAGCTTCTCGCCAGACTTGGCGTGCCAGACCACGCTGGTGCCATCGTCTGACGCAGTGGCCAGCCGGCATCCGTCGGGCGAGAACTGGACAGAGTGGACCACCCCCTGATGGCCCTTGAGAACAGATATTTCCATGCCAGTCTCAGCATCCCACACACGCGTGTCGCAGTCGGCACTCCCGGACGCGAGCTGTGTGCCGTCGGGAGAGAACGTGACAACCATGACGAGGGCATTATGGGCCTTGCACAGTGATTGCTGTTCGCCTCTCTCTACGTCCCATATCCGCACTGTGAAGTCGACTGACCCGGATGCGAGTTTCTTGCCATCCGGAGAGAACGCGAGTGTGTCGATGAAGCCGTCATGACCATTGAGCGCGATCGTCTTCTCGCCAGCAACCACGTTCCACAAGATGATCGAGCAATCGCGGGAACCAGAGGCAAGGAGAGAGCTGTCTGGTGAGAATGCGAGTGCGCAGATGGTGTCTGTGTGCCCCCTTAGCTCCGTGATGCGACCTCCGGTGGCGGGATCCCACAAGATGATGGTGGAATCTTCATAGCCGCTGGCGACGTAGAGGCCGTTTGGGGAGTACGCCAATGCGCACACGCTGCCGCGGTGAGCGTCTGCGCCAAGACTGAGGAGCATACCCCCGGCGTCGTGCCACACAACAAGCTCCTCCTGGAGATTCTCGGCGATATCGGTTTCTGCTGGTGGTACCGGTTGTGTGTTGGGATCGGGGTGGTTTTGTACCTGCTCGTCGGCCACTGTTTGTTCCGAGTCTTCTGCTTCCGTCGTCTTCAATATCGCCGGTGCGCTGGAGTCCCGCTGGAAAGATGTGACCTCTGTAGTATCGTCAGTAAGCATACAAGAGAGCCTATGACTGTCGATAACTACCTGGCATGATTTTGATGATACGCTACTGTGTAAAATTCGCTGCGGAGAAATGATTGTGAGTTGGGGTGTTGTCTGGTGTTTTTATAGTGCGTGTAGTGGCATCGCCACAATCCGCATGAGAGCCACCGGTGGCGGTGCTATCGCTTTGACCTTCTTGGTGGCACAATAACATGATGTGAGAAGTAGCCCCTTAATTCCCAGCGCTGACTCCGCGCTCGAGGTGGTACGATGGCTATTGAGTGCTGGGCTATCCTGTCTGCGCAACTTCCACGTCCGAGTCATTGCTTGTATGCACGAACTGGATCACTGTCACATCGCATGCCTAGCATGCCAGCTGTCAGTATGCTATATAATATTGAAGAAATTTCACACATCAAAACACACTGGGAACACTTTCCCGCTACGCGCACATACTTAGGGGCAAGCCGCAATGATTTAAATAATTTTCTAGCAATGAACCCCTATTATGCATCGCTGCGAGTCTTCAACGATATAATGTCAACCGTTGCAGTAGCACAATGAGTCAAACCGTAGACGATCTTCGCATCGTGTGCATATCAAGAAAGCGAATATTATTTAAGCCACTGAGCCTAGAGCAGGGAGAGAATGGGTGCGTTCAAGGTTGCGCGCTAGCGTGATGCTTTCGTGACTTGATCTCGATGGGCCAGCCAATCACGCTGGCCGACTACACAGTGTGACATGCCGTAAGCCGAAGCTGCGAGCGCTTGCGGTGGGCAGTTGCGTATTTGTCGCTATTCGAGGAGTAAGTAGAGATGAGATCCTCGCCATATTTCCAAGTCGCTCGTCTTTTGGTCTAGCGAAATGTATGAAGTCATAGAGGCGGCATAGACGACTTAGAGAGGGACTGCTTAAATGAGCCATATACGGTCACGTGCGTGGTATGGGAGCGGCCGCTAACTGGCGACTCAACCTGAACTTGTTCTACGCCACCATCGTCGTCGCCAGTCATCGTCACTGTCGCGCACGTCAGACAGCCCCCTTCACGCTGCTACCGACTGGGTTGCAACCCCCTGTAACTGCTCTTGTCGCGGGCGTTGTCTCCGATACGCTCTACTCCGTGTCTCGCTCTTCTACACATCCATTGAATAATCTGTGTCGCACGGAGTGAACCTGGAGAGAGAAGGATTGCAGTGAAACAAATGGCGACGAGCTTTCTACCAGTGCTCTCCCCCAGCGATGTACAGCGTGCGGCTGAGGTAAGGTGTCACCTCTAAGTCTTCACCGTCCCAAAGATACATACAAAACAGCTCATCCAACAAGCGTATGCACCGCACAATCATCTTGCGTCTGGAGATCAGCGGCGTCTTCAGCAAGAACTCTTCGACATCCAAAAACGCCCGGAAGCATGGGGTCTCGTCCTGCCTTTTCTGAACCACGACGACCCGAACGTCCAGTTCTTCGGAGCGCACACTGCGCAGGTGAAGATTGCGCGAGACTGGTGAGTCTTTTTGCGTCCGGCTTGTCTTAGCTTACGAACGCAGCTGGCAGGGCGTCGTTTCCGCAAGAACACGTCCTACCGCTACGCGATATGCTACTCGACTTGACTGGCAGGTCTATTGCCGCTGGACGGAATAAGGTCATCCTGCGTAAACTGTTCGTCGCAGTCACCTCTCTAGCACTGAAGATCTGTCCCGCAAACCCACCACAATGGCCGGACTGGCTCACGCTGTCCATAAATGCGCTATCCAGCTTGGGCGCATCTAGCGAACACCTGCTTGACTTCCTCGCGATCGTCGCGGAGGAGGTGGAGAGCGCTAATCTACTTCCGCCTAGTAAGTGAGTATGGCCGCGACTGGAGGATTCCACGATGTTCTAACGCACGCAGATCTCAAATGCAGCGGACACTACTTGAAGTCGTACCCATGGTTGTGGGTGCGCTAACAACGTGCATTGCCACCCCGCAAGCACGGAGCACGCCGCATCAGCTCGCATCAGCCCTCAAATGCCTCCAAGCGTGGCTATCCTTGCTACCCGCTAAGTATGCGTGCTCGTGTATATGTCAAATCCAATTGTCTAAGCGGCATTCGTAGCGACTTGACACCACTCATACCGCCACTCATTGCACTCCTGGATCCAATGCCTGGCACAGAACCACTAGAATTCGACGAAACGTCGTTTGTACTCTCATCGGACACGCTGCAAGAGGTCATGTCCAAGTCTGCCCTCTCGGATGGATCAGGCAGCAAGACGCTGACGGAGCCGCTCCTGCTGTGGTTCTATCGAAACGGGAATAGGATCGTCGGCGATACCCTCAACAGTGAGTGAGGTTCTTTGCCTGCTAATATTCCAACCTCCAACGACACTGATCATTCGTCTTAGCTGGCTTTGTCGACGGCGTATCGCATTCATTTTGTAAGCTCCTGGTAGCTGTAGGCGATCACTCTACGCTATACTTGGCAGCGCACATCGCATCGCCTGCCCCGCCATCTCCGGTTCCCCCGATTCCCTCTCCCATCTCGTTCCCGGCTCCTTCCATTCCCACCAAGTCTGACATCGTACAGACCTTCCTGCGGCTCCTGCTCGCGTACACTGCGCTTCCCGGGTACTACGCCGCCGATGAGGAGGAAAGCGAGCTGACCCTCGGGTTCTGGTATCTCTTCCAAGAGGCACTGTGGGCCGCCGAGTACGAGCAGGACTTTGACTACACAGGTGAAGAGGTCCCCGACGGTCGGGGTCAGACTGAGCCACCACAATGGCCCATCGCCAAGGCGGTTTACTCGGAGCTTGTGCAGGTCCTACGGCGAAAAGTAGAGTGGCCAGACGCTCTGACGTTGCGCACGTGGCCGAGAGGTGTGTGCATTATCTGAAGCAGTAGATATGACATTATTAACGAATAGAGAGGTAGATAGACGAGACAAGTTCCAAGCGTGCGTCTTTCGTGTTTTTATTTCAATGTCCGTTCTTCTTGACCGTTTTCCTGCAGATACCGGCGTGATGTCGGGGACACCTTGATCAATGCGTAAGTTGTTTATCAAATTCACAGATACGCGTGCATTGATTTTGGCCCATGATAACAGATACTATATCCTTCGTGATGACTTGGTGGGCTACTATGTTAATGACCTTCTCGGGCGCCTCGCATCCCGTCAGGATCAACAAAAGTGGCAGGTGAGTCATACTACGCCTACGATTCCACGTAAGCTTAGACTGATTGTTTCCCAAGGAAGTAGAAGCAACTCTGCATTGTGTTATGGCCATTCAGGAGGCCGTTCCCATAGAAGACAACCCACACCTGGTCAGACTATTTGGACCCGAGGTATATGGTCGCCTTCCAGTTACTGGGAATGAACGTGTGCGAAGGACTGCACTCATACTTGCTGGTCTGTACTGGACTTATTCCGAGGTGTACATGTCAATATTCACGTGGTCATGTATCATGCAGGCTCGTATTCATCATGGTTCACGACACAAACTAGCACCACAGGGACGACTCTCCTCATGAACACTATTTCATATGTTGTCGCTGCACTTTCGGAACCCTCATTATGTCTGCCAGCGGCAAATGCGCTTCGCGAACTATGCGATGCCAATCGGACTGTTCTCGCGCCGCACATTGGTGCTTTCTCCCAGCTACACGCGGGTCTTACGGGCATTCCTGTAGGTCTCAACTATCGCTCCAAAGTCGTCAATCCATTCTGATGCGTGGCTGTCAGGATACTGAGAAGGCCAAAGTTCTACAGTCCATTGCGAGCATCATCCAAGCCTTACCTCCAATGGAGGCTATCCCTCCTGTTGAGGCTTTAGTCAGTCCTGTGGTAGCAAGGCTATTTGAAGCTCTCCATCTATCGACGCGGGTTTGTCGCCTACTCCCTTGTGCTGCACTTGGACTGACTACGTCAACCAGCTTCCGGATGAGGCGCGTCTGATGGCTGTGCAGCAACTAGAGACTATCTCAGGAGTCGCACGCGGCCTCACTCGGACAAGCGATTCTCTGCTGGTATTGGACGAATCACCAGAGGTCCAAATGTTAGCCCAACAAATGCAGCAAGCGAGAGCCGATCCTCGCACCGTCAACCTGCGACAAGGCCTTCTTGACGCGATCCGAAAGGTGGTGGACATTTGGTGTGCAGATGCTAGCATCAGCGATGTAAGAATCATCGTATTGCTTCGCATACTGGACTGACGCGTGCTATAGGCCATGAGCGATCTGGTAAAGGCAATCACGTCCCTACCCTCAGACATCACGATCATGTCCCTTCCTCCAGCTCCTCTCCTCGAAGTCATCTGCGTGGCTTCGCAGCGTCACGTGACAGCTGTCTGGATGAGTTTGGCTAGTATGCTTGTGGTTCAACTCGACCCTCCAGCTCTGCTTCCTACAACCTTCAAGCCGATTCCAAGCGATGAAGGACGTGGCGTTGTGCTCAATGCCCTTGTGGTCCTTTTAGGGTCAACATTGACAAGTCTGGATAAACCGGGAGCGATGGACGATGTATGTCATGGGCGGTGCTTTCATATCGCTGCTTGATGTCTGACGTGCTCAGTAGAACCCTGACATTGTCCAGTCCTTCTTCAACTGCATGGACACGGTGAGCTATTTACTCATGAATCTGGTTTGTACGCTGACGATCATCAGGTCGCGCAACACTTTGTCTCGACGTTCTATAGTCTACCTCCGGAACTGTTCAACGCTCTAATGTCTTGTGCGGTCACCTCACTCAATCTGCAAGAACGATATTCACTCGTTGCGGCTTGTAATTTCGTGGTTCGTATGGTGTGCTGCCGTTCAAATGCTCCAATAACACGCGTTCTGTTTATAGATCACACTCATAAGCCGCACACACGCAACGGGTGAACTTAGCGATGCAAAGGAAATGCTGGCTAGAATGCATGGACGCTCCATCATGAAAGCAGTCCTTAGTGGCTTTGCCGGAAGTGCACCTCGCTCAGCTTCACAGAATCTCATAGAGCTACTTTCTACATTATTAAACCGATACCCTGCCGAGAGTCGGATATGGATGTCTGATGTTCTTTATGCAGTACGTCAGCTGTCAGTAAATATGCGACAGCATACTCATTAACATTGTTTCATCTCTAGGGCGATTTCGTTGAATCGCACGCCAGCAGTGAAGCTAAGGAGAAATTTGTCAAGGCAGTGTCCGGGTCAGTAGTCCGGTTGTCGTTCTTCAGCAATGCTGATGCACAGTTGATCTTTCACTCAGCACTCGGACAATGAAACGCATACGAGAGGCTGCGCAACAGTTCACACTCGTTGCAAGGGGCCTAGAAGGTTCAAGCTTTGGATATGCAACCATTACAATGTGAGAGCGACGATGAGAGAAGGGAACCGGTATCCACTATTGCCGCTATCACGAAGGACTGACCACGACGGGACCTGTACATTATCATAAGAGTGGTATCTCCACAAACTTCTCTTGAACCTGAGTTGATGTCCTCCGTCTTGGCCCTGTACTCATTTCTAGCACCCTCTTCCTCCGTTCTCTGAGCATCTTCTTCGCGAACTGTTCTGCGTCCGTCAAGCGCTCAGAAGAGACGCTTGACTGTCTGGAAATATCAGAACAATACGAGGACGTCCGCCCGGAAGGCATGGTCGGGCGGCGAGATCCTCGTGGCCTCTTCGTTACACGTCGACGGGTTTGCGTTGTCATACGGCGATGCTGCTCGGCCTGATAGGACGGAAGTTCCGGTAGCTGAGGAAGATCCATAACAGTGATTCCTGCTGGATTCGCCTCGTGGAAGCCATCCTCGTCTTTGACGTCCATGCGTGATTCTGGAAGTGAAGGTGATGTTTCCTGGCACTCCGGTAGTGCTTCCGCTCTAGATGGCTCCTGGATGTACTCTTGCAGAAGCGTACCGGACAGCCAGGGAGAAGAGTCGGCTCTTTCTGGCAAGTGGACATGAAAGGGACTCGTTACTTGTCCGTTGTTTTCCGCCTTCCACTCCTTGAAACTCGAATGGACTGAGCGCATGGTGCTCGCTCTAGACAGAGTACCCAACCCCGAGTTTGCAGCGTCCCTATAAATCGATCTGCAATCGCCTCGTATTCGAGTGGGGGCTGGGGTCCAAGTGCTGCAGGTCGGCTCATTTGCGTTGTTTGCTCCAACAACCGTGTTGAATGCATTGACTAGGTTCCACTTCAGCGACGCGGCCCAGCCACTGGTTTGAGTTCCTCTCGCGACTCCATCCCCAGGATATGATAAGGGGCCTAGATCTTTGTCGCTAAACCCCCCTGAGGTACCTAGACGGCCCATGCTGGTCGGACGCTCTTTGAGTGCCCAAGGGACGGTAAGCCCACTCCCATGCAGACTGAGGAAGCGGGGGCGTTCAATTGCCATTGGGGCGTACGGCGTCCCGCATTCATACGACAGCGCATGAGACATGGATGCAATACCTAGCGCAGAGCTTGCACGGCTCGCGCCGCCGCTTGACTCCGAGCGCAGGTCATCCGGCATTAGGTTCGTCACTTGGAGCGTACCCATATCTGGCGCGAGATCCGGGACACTGCTGTTCGCGCTGCACAGCTGGACTGTCGGGTAAGATCCGATGCCGTCGCCGAGGTGGATGACCGGCGGGAGGCGCGGGTACGTTCCACCAATGTCGGTCTCGCCAGTCTGTGGCAGCCCCGCGCCATGTCCCCCGTAAGCAGATTTGATCTGTCTGGGCTCCCACATATATGACGCGCCATCGGTCAACGAGCTGGGCTTCTCGCTTCCGTATCCACCAATGGTGTCCTTAGTCCATGGCCAGAGCGTCTTCCCTGATACGGATCGACGGCGGGAACGCCTCCTGATGCGTAGCCACCATGTAAGGAATGCTATAGAGGCAGTCAAGGCAGCGATAATGCCGAAGGCGACACCAGCATAGAATCTTGCATCATGAGCTGACCCGGAGGACGCTTCGGAAACTGCGGAAGAGGATGGTATGACAGAGGTTGTGACGCTTATAGTTGAGGTAAGACTAGACGTCGTGGGCTGCGAGCTTGTGGACGTCGATACTGCTGACTGTACCGACGGGCTCGACGTCACAGAGATGACGGGGGATAGTGTAGACGACGCAGCAGTGCTAGTAGAGGTCGGGATATCACTAGAGAGTTGTATGCTGCTTGAAGGCAAATTGGACTGATGGTTCGCATGGGTTACAAATATAGCGGCTGCGTGAGGCGTTACAGACATACCGGAGACATTGTATTCGCGGCTATAGTCGAGTCCGTTCCGATATCAGGAACGCCCTGTGGGAATTGATCCGATCCTTGAGAAGCCATCTGAGGACCGTCACCGTTGTCCTGCGGGGCAATGATGGAAGCCTGCCCTCCAGGTCCGAAGACTAGACTGTTACCAGGAATCATGCTACCGTCAAGCATTGTCGCTCGGCGGGTCTGCGCCACCCTGGATCGCGAGTGGATAGGTGATCCATGCCTGGGGGGTCGCCTTACTCCTTTCCAGTCCATGCCTGCAGAGGAGCTTGTGCGCACCAGGCGCTGAGACTTCCAGGAATGCTCCCAAAGTAATGAAAACTCTCCAGGAGCGTCGGAGAAAACAGATGGAAGGCAAGCGTACAACGAACGAGCATTAAACAACCCCGAGGCTGACAGGAGCATCCCCCTACAGCAATCATGATTCGAACTGTCTCATCAAATCGCAAATCCGGCGGGCCAATTATAAACTCTTTCGAGGCTGACGTTCGATCGACGTCATGAGGCAGTGACCCAACGCCACCAAGATGCGCACTGTGCTTTTTGTGACCTACTGATTTCTTCCGAAAGCGATGCAAAGGCGCAAACGTCGTGTCTACGCCAACGGCCGCTTGCGATCGGTGACGCCAGCTGCAACGCCATATCAAACTCTCATAATACCTAAGATGTGCTCACCTATGATACTGTCATGGTACACGGCGCTTTGTCTTGTCTCACCAATTGCAACGGACATATTTGGACATTCTCAACTTATGGCACAGTTACACAAGTAAATCCGTACTGAGCTCCGAACTATCCTGACTCATTTCTTGCTTGAGCTCGAGCAGCTCCTTCTCATGGGACGACCAACTGGGTCCGTACCTGTAAGCATTGACTCTCCTTCTCGGGAATCCAACAGAGTATATCCCTGTTCATAGACGGCCTTCGTGGTGATCGGTACGAACTAGTTACGCTCGCCTGGCGCCGTGGAGACGGAGACCGGGACTAAGACAGCAGTAGAGGCTATAATTGAAGGAAATGTCGTTTAAGAGTTATCAGATCCGCGGTATTTATGCGTGGCATGTGGGTATCTGCCAGAACCGTAGAGCTGACAGGAGACAAAGGTCGCTTGAATAAGGTCTGATACATCGGGGTCGTCGCGGACAGCTAGCTACTTGCGCTTATCGTTGTGTGAATCAGTGTGCATCTTCCTGAGCTATAAGCTCAATGACCGTCTGGTTTCGCGAGCGAATGCTACAAACAAACTCTCGCGGGGATCTGATGAGACACTCGGTCAGTGGAGGCTATATACCGATGCAACGAGTATATACCTGGTTACGCCAGTGATAAATGAGAGCGTAGGCTCTATCTCATTTCCATTAAAGTCACAGGCCTTGCGGATGTCCAGGGTAGCTAGGATGGTCGCTGCCGCCAGCCAAACACTCATATCCGCTAAATGACGGCCGGGACAGATACTACAACCAGAACAATGTCCGTCGAGTAAGCGGTTATTGTGTTCAGCTGCAAACACACCGCGACTCACCGCCTGCCGAACCCGAAGATATACCTTTTTGGATCGCACGCCTTGACTTTCTCGGCATCCATTTCCTCAAATCTCTCAGGTCGGAACGCATCTGGATCAGGGTATATAGACGGATCGCGCGAGATAGCCCTGCTAGTACATGAGACAAGGCAAGAGCTGTTCGAGTTTGGGCCCACCAAATGTTAGAAATCACACTCGACCCCTTCGGAAGGAAGTAGCCTTTGTATATGTCGTCTTGTGTTAGAGCGTGAGGGGCACCTGGAGGGGAATTTCAAGACGTTTCCGCTGCTGTGAATGCAAGCCAACGTACCTAAGGGTATGGGAGGGTTCCAGCTGGTTCGGCGTTAGTATTGAGTTGTGTCAAGTAGTGCATTATCGTACCGGTAGACTTCCAACAGCACACAATCAAGGTAAGGCAACTGCTTCCTGTCGTAGAGCTCGGGAAGTCTCTCGGCACCGACGACAGCCCCTATTTCCTCCTGTACTTTCCGCAAGACTTCAGGGTGGAGCGTCATGGTCAGAATGAGGGTCAAGAGCACGACTGCACTCTGCGCAACGCCATAATTAGAGCTACCAATGTCTCTTAGAATTGTATGTATCATGCCCACCGTCTCGGCACCGGCTATGCGGTGACATGTCAGGTACGCTCCCAAACAAACACGAAGTGCACCTACCGACGTATAAAGTGGCAGCAGCGCCCTTGATGTTATACGCGACTCGTGGCGGAAGTTGTCCGTTATCAGATACTGCTTCAATCCACGCTGAGGAGAACGAAGGCTTGTACACTCCAGATGTCTGTATGCCATACCTCAGACGAAGCCAAGGCAAGTCGCCGAGTGACGCTCACTATATTCTTGAGCAGCAAATCAAACAGTACGTCCAGCATCTGGCGTATCACGTGCCTTGCCTTTACCGCATCTCGGTTGTATGCTGCCCCGGGCATCCATGAAGGGACATACTTCACTGCATGCACGGAACACGATGAGCAGAGGTCTACGTGTGAATCAGGTGTACACACAGATCGGGAAGAAGTCGACAAGTGAAGCGACCATGGAATCAGAGTGGGTAATGGCATGAACCGCATCCTCAGCCGTCCTGTTGTATGCCTCATCTGCCGTTAGCTCGTCCATACCGTAGGCTAAATCAAGTGTGAGGTCGCTTGTATATCTAGAAGAGAAGAGATAAGCTAGTTGGGTAAGATATGAAGCAATTTAATCTAACCTCTGCACATGGGCGAAGAACGCATTCGGAGAATCGAGCAGTTTGATGATCAGCTTGTCAACGCTGCTTTTCAGTGTTGTATGTAATCCAGTCAAGGCTCGTTCTGTCTCGAGGGCGGCTTGCAGCCACTTCCTGTGCTCCCGCCAGTCCTCATCGGCATTCATGAATGCTGTGACAGGTTTGAAATCGTATCTAGAGCGACTTTGAATGTACGTTCACGGATACAGCGACGCAAAGTGATTTACACGTCTTCCCATAGTGTTAATCCGGCCCTGTCAGAGTAGATCGCCCCCTTCTT